GCAATTTAGGAATTTGAAAAAAAAAATAAATCTTTTTATTTGATTAAGTGTATCAATTAAACTGTTATCTTCTAAAATGTACTATTTTTCTTAATACTTTTAATTCAGAAAATAAACCTAAACCATCAATATCGAATTGATTATTATACTTTAAGGAACATTCAAGATTAAGGCAATATTTTTTTAAATTTCCAACATCTAGTGATCTTAGTTTTTATTGATAGAAAACCAAAATATTTTCATATGCTTTGAATTGTTCAAAATCTATTTTGAAGTGCAAAAATAGTCCTGTCTATTAAGTATAAAACTAATCAACTCTAAAGGACTCTTCGAGATTTTGAGATTTCCCTGTAGTGGGCACGCGGAGAGGTAGAGGGCGACCTAAGAAGTATTGGGGAGAGGTGATCAGACAGGACATGGCGCTTACTGAGGACATGGCCCTTGACAGGGAATTATGGAGGTCGAGCATTAAAGTTGTAGGTTAGGGGAAAGTTGTGAATATTTCTACAGCACAATAGAGTGAGACTAGCTAGTTAGGAGTTAGACGAAGAATGTCATTGGTCGTCTATTGATGCAGGGCTTTACCTGCTAGTTTTACTATACCAGTCATCTATTTCGTATTTCGTATTTCGTATTTCGTATTCTGTATTTCATATCTCTTATATTGCTGTTATTTATTATGCATTTTTATGGTACTAATATATCGGCTCCTGTTGCTTTTTTTGAGCCGAGGGTCTCCTGGAAACAGCCTCTCTACCCTTCGGGGTAGGGGTAAGGTCTGCGTACATATTACCCTCCCCAGACCCTACTTGTGGGATTATACTGGGTCGTTGTTGTTGTTGTTGTTGTTGTTGTTGTTGTTGTTGTTGTTGTTGTATTATCAACATTCGCATCAAATTGTTACTTTCTATATATCGCACGTTTCTTATGAAATTTAGGTTTGATATTCATTTCAAGTGCAATTTCCTTGGTAGAAAACTAGAAATCATATCAATTGCAAATCTTTTTTCTCTATATTTGTTAAAGGAAAAAATAAAGTGTTTTCACTTTACAGAACTCTTTTTTAAACTTATACATAGTCTATTAGGTGTAATAAAGAATGGGGCCCTCACAAATATGGGGCCTAAAGCGGTTGCTTTACTTGCTTTATGGAAGGGCCGCCCCTGAAAGGTCCTTGTTTTGTAATTTTCTTTTATTTTTTATTTAATTTTTCGGTTTTTAGTTTTTTCTTAATCAAAATCGCTCATCCACGCTCTCAATGTACGTGTATCCTACATTCTTTGTCCAGCTCAACTTTATAAATGCCACAAAAACTCGGTCAACGGTCAGAGGTATTTAAAAGATTAATTTTGACAAGTTAAGATGTCTGGATAAAAATATTTGAAATACCGGGACCAAAATGTCAAAACAATGCAAGTACAAGTATGTATTAGTCTATTCTGCCTTTTAGAGTCTCAACCTAAAACTCCAATTAATAGATAGAGATTCAATCATAACACCACATCTTAAAAATAAAAAAATAAAAAAATTAGCACATTCTAAGTAACAACTAACAAACAACTTCCCATAAAAAAAATGCACATACATGGAAATGATAACTTCCCATATAAGGTGGGAGAAAAATCATTGTCCAAAAATAAAAAATAAAAACTTCAAAATTATCTCTTATCACCTAAAAGGCAAACACTACATAACAAAGTCTTTCCTTTTCAAGAAGCTATTCTTAACCAATTGTTAATGGATCAACAAGGGAAAACAAATAAAAATTAAAAACAGATTGTAAAAAGTAGGAAATTGAAACAATATAAAATAAATAAATAAATAAAAACAGATTGTAAAAAGTAGGAAATTGAAACAATATAAAATAAATAAATAAATAAAAAGAGGAGGATTTTGACTTTATTTTGGGATCTTAAAAGCTAACATCTCAAACTCTGTATTGTCAAAATGTATTAATTGCACATGTTATAGGGTAATACTTTACCCGACAATAAAATTAATATGGCGACTGATGCTTTTACATTTATTTAATTTTTTCCCCTCTTTCTCTATTATTTACTACTACTATTGCTTGCCATATAGAATTGTTCCTTCATTAGGAAAAAAATGCCAAATATGGCCAATTTATATGTTTTAATTGAAGCCCAATAGGCGTTTGATTAATGTTTTTTTTTTTGTTTTTTCACCGAGTTCAATATTCACATTGGAGTCCGACCAAATTCGGATTCGCACCGAAAATCACACATTGAGGGTAAAGTGCTTCCTAATAAAGGCGATTCCATACCCAGGACTCGAACCTCAAACCTCTGATTAAAGATGAAAAAGTACTTGTCATTCTACCACAACCTTTGTTGGTAGCAATTGATTAATATTTTTAACAATGAGAAGAATTATCTAGGACTAACATTATTTTGAATAAAAACTCATTATAACAAGTGTAAACCACATTAATTTTCACGTCTAATTTTTCTTCTTCTTTTTTTTTTCCCTCACGGGTTGAAGGTTATTTCGAAAACAGGAGAGAATTGAAAAAAAGAAGAAGAAAGAAGAACAGTTACTGTTGACTTCAATAAGATGGAAAGAATAATTAGAAATTCAAATATTTTGAGGATGAGCAAACTGTAAAGTAAAATTGCATTAACTAATGTAGATTTAAGGAAATGTATTAAAATCCTAAAAAATGGAAAATATATATTCTCTATTTATTACACTAAATCTTCCAGTTAAAATATACAACATTGATTTAAGAAAGTAATTAGTGAATGTTGCCTTAACAAGCAAAAATTCAAATTAGCTTAGCTCCTCCAACTACATTTATGTTTTTTTTGGAATAAAAAGGCAAAAGGTGAAGTACTAAATAAGCAATTTACTAATGACTTTAAAATTTCTAAATCTGTACACACAATTCCCCTAAAACATGGTAACATATTGATGACCCAATAATAGATTTATATATCCTGTCAAACATATTATTATTATTATTAATATTTTGCATAGTCAAATAAGAGATTAAGGAAAAATGAACGCCTAATAGGGCAACAGAGACTATATGAAAACTGAAATTCAAACTCGTTAAGATAGACTTTCAGTCTCTTGAATGACTTTCGATATTAAAATTAATAACTATGTGATTATTTTCTTATTTATATAAATTCTTTATAAGATTTTGGTCAAATTAGGGAGAGAAAATGTAATTAAAGATTGATGCAAGCCACCAATTTGATGCTTCTCAATTACATTTGTACTTGTAAATTTTAATATTACTACTGATTATTTTTTTATTGATGGGCTAACTAGTCATTTCATAAAATTGATTATTTTCAAGAAAGTTGAAAATAGAGCCTTAAATCACTCAAACCCTATCATATTCAAACCCTAAAGAAAGGAATGGTAGGCTTTAAATGATTTCTATAAATGGAAAAATACCTAAGAATATCATTAGCATTTATGCCCTGAATTTTCTATTCTTCTTGTCCATTATATATGTCCTTAAAATTCTTATTTTCAACCCTTTTGCAAAAACAGTCACTTTACCATAGATCTAAGCAATAGAAGAAAACAATATTAATACCCATTTTCAATATTGAATGAGAACTTTAAAATTTTCAAAAATATTTTTTTTTTGCACAAAGATCACTTTTAACCCACGACTGAAACTATTTACATTCGGTAACCTCTCAAAAGTGTATAAATTTTGTATATTTTTGTATATAACATATAATAATGTATGTGTATAATATATATTTTACTATTATTTTAAGAGCGACTATACAGTGTCATTTTTTTTCTTTTGATGTTCAATTATGGCCAAAATAAGAGGAAATTTTTCTTAAGTAAATTAAAGGGTCCATCAGTAGAGAAATAAAAATCTAGAATAATTAAGAAGTCATTACAGCCTAAAATGATTTGTAATCTTTGATAGGTTGGGAATCTTAATCTAAAAGGTAAATCTAATCAAGATTCAAGAAAACCTAGCCATAGTTTTCGTTAAATAATCTTAGATTAATTCTTGAACACTTAATTTCCAAATGAACGGCCAGGATTTCTTGAAGTGTGAGTGTGTACAAAGAGAAGTGTCACATGTAATCATTTCTTAAAAGTCTATAAAGGTCACTTCCAAAAATGCATGCTTCTGAGGGAGAATAAAGTTACAAAAAAGGTTCCCATAAAAAGACAATAAATATTGCTCATTTTCACATAACTCTGTACAGAAAATAAGTTTTAGGAAAAATTATACTGTATAGTCGCTCTCAAAATAACAGCAAATATATATATTATTTGTTATATATAAATTTTGTACATTTTTACTGCTACTAAATATAAATAATTTCTAATACGGGCTAAAAGTGATCTTTGCTCTAAGTTTGATAATGTAAAGATATTTATATAATTAAATTATTTTATAGATAATTGTAACCAAAATCTCTTGAAAAGAATTAACTAGTAAACCGATAAAAAACTAACTAACCTATTATTACATATTAAAGGTTATTGATAGTGGAAAAATAAAATTTTATCTAGTCATTATATATAATTTAAATTCATCTATACATACGAAGTTTTTTGAGAAATAGTTTAAATTTTATGCATTAACATAGCATAAGGAGTTTTAGTTGGAGTATATAGTGATTTGGCATTGTAAAAATACTATGCACTTCCAACTTTACTTTTATATCTACCTGGATCGTTTGGTTAGAAAATAAGTTATTTCGGGATCAATTATCCCGATACTAGTTATTTCGGGATTATTATTTCATTCCCCTATAAGAATAAAAATAACAATATAATTTCAGAATAACTAATTTCGAAATTACTACTGCATTTTATTCCAACCAAATATAAAATAAATTTATCTTAAATTTAATTTCAAAATTAATTATCTCTTATCTGTCATACCAAACATGCCCCGTAATATAACATGCACCAAAAAAGGACTATTTTATTACCAACAATGGTTTTGTGAAAGAGAAAAGAGGTTGTAGAGTATAGTGGGGGGTGCATAGGGAAAAAGTAAAAGACAAACACAAACAGAAGAAGAAAAAGTATAGTGGAGGAGAGATAGAGATGTGATGACTAGAAAATTTCTATGATTTGTTATATTTGTTGGGTTGAAACCAATCACTCTGTTCTGGCCATTACCCCATCATTGTCCACACGTACTGCTTTTTTTACTTACTACTAGTACTACCATTTCATAAGTCTCAATCTTGTCTCTCTTGTCTAATTGATCATTTCTTCACTTTCTTGGATTTATTTAGGTAATTGGGTTTTCTGGGGTTTTGATAAAAATTCAAGAAAGTCACTTTTTTTTTGTTGTTCTAGTAGTAAAGTTTTGAACGTTTTTTTTTGCTTCTTCAACTTCTTGGATTTATTCAGGTAATTGGGATTTGTGGTGTTTTCATAAAAATTCAAAAAAGTCACTTTTTTTATTGTTGTAGTAGTAAAGTTTTGAACTTTTCGTTGCTTCTTCAACTTCTTGAATTTATTCAGGCAATTGGGATTTGTGGGGTTTTCATTTTCAAGAAAGTAAGTTTTTTTGTTGGAGATTGTGGTAAAGTTTTGATCTTTTTGGTCTAAGAATCTTGTTGTGTGTGGTTCAAGAAAATGACTGTGGAAGAAATTAGAGGAAATGATAAGGGTGGTGAAAAGGGAAATTATCAAAATTATGATAATTTTCCAATTGGTATGAGAGTTCTTGCTGTTGATGATGACCCTATTTGTTTGAAGCTTTTGGATGGTTTGCTCAGGAAATGCCAGTATCATGGTAGGTTGCTGCTGCTGTTGAGTTTTTTGGTTATTTGTTCTCCTTTTCTGTTTTATCTGGGAAAAAAAAGTTTTAACTTGTTTAATGATGGTTGTTTCTTGTTTCTAACTTTTAAAAAGAGCATTTAAGTGTGTAATCTATAAAGAATGGACTTTTGCTCTGGTAAAAGGGGTTTTCAAATTGTTTTCATGATTTCAATTTGCTGTTCTTTTTCATGCATGTTTCATGTTTCTAGTTGATTTGATCATGGCCTTTAACCAATCAAAATTGTGAAGGGAAAAAAGGTCTTAGAACAAAGGTCAATGGTGTTCTTTTGATTTATTTTTTGCTTTTTGAAATGTATTTTGAACATAATCCAGCTCCAAAATCTGTATTTTGTACTTTCTAAATTCTGTTTTCAAGTGAGATTTTTGTTTCTAAGAGCATATGAAATTTGATTTGTTCTTGATTGCCCTGTAGTTTAAGTGAGCACCAGATTTAGTTAAATCTTGCACTGAAAATATATTTTGTTGCAACCCTGGATTTTCTTGATTTATTTTGAGATCTTTCTAGTTTTCGAAATTATTAGTCTTTTCCTCCTTGAGATTTTTTAATAAAATATTTCATTATTATTCTGAAGATGATCTTTTGTCTTTGGACAGTAACTACCACAAGTCAGGCAAGAATGGCATTGAAGATGTTGAGGGAGAATAGAGATAGATTTGATTTGGTAATCAGTGATGTTCACATGCCTGATATGGATGGCTTTAAACTTCTTGAACTTGTTGGTCTTGAGATGGATCTTCCAGTTATAAGTAAGTCAAATACCTTCATTTATCTTAGTTATAGATCTACCCCTTTCGCCTCATTTTCAACGTTTTACTCCCTTTAGATTCTGTAGTACTAGCATCAAATATCTTATTGCATTCTGTTTCAATCGTAGTAGAGGAATTTTAGGGGTAATGTTTGGATTTTTGAACTTTTTTTTGGTCCAGTGTTGTCCGCAAACAGCGATACGAAACTTGTAATGAAGGGAATTAGTCATGGTGCTTGCGACTATTTGGTGAAACCTGTGCGGCTCGAGGAGCTGAGGAATGTATGGCAACATGTAATCCGAAGAAAGAACGTTGAACCTAAGAGCCGGAGCAAGTCTAACGATCATGACAAATCTTATCGGGAAAGTGGAGAAGGTGGTCGAGGGCAATCACCGACAGGTAATGCTGATCAAAACGGAAAACTTAACAAGAAAAGGAAGGATGAAGAAGATGAGACTGATGAAAATGGAACTGACAATGAAGATACAGCAAATCAGAAGAAAGCTCGTGTCGTTTGGTCCATAGAGCTTCACAGGAAGTTTGTAGCAGCTGTTAACCAGTTGGGCATCGAAAGTGAGTTCTTTAGCATTAGTAAGTTTTCTCTAATCTATGTTTGTTATGAATGTTCCCGTATTAACTGACTATTTCTCCGTCCTGTTTCTGATGCAGAAGCTGTCCCAAAGAGGATTCTTGACCTAATGAATGTTGACGGGCTTACAAGGGAAAATGTGGCAAGCCATCTCCAGGCACTAGTCTTGCTCCTTGTTCTTCGCTATACCTTTGTTACGATACAGTTTTAGAGTTCTTAATCAGTTTTTTCTTTCTGTGCTACAGAAGTATAGGCTTTACTTGAAAAGGATAAGTTCAGTAGCAACCCAGCAAGCCAACATGGTTGCCGCATTAGGGGGCAAGGATTATATGCGAATGGGCTCATTGGATGGACTTGGAGATTTTCGAACATTAGCTGGATCAGGACGGTATGCTCATCCTACCTTGTCATCATACACTTCAGGGGGCATGCTTGGCAGATTAAATAGTGCTGCTGGTCTAAGTGTTCGCAATCTGGCCGCACCTCAGCTACTCCAACCTAGTCATGGTCAAAGTTTGAACAACTCCATTAACGCTTTTGCAAAATTGAATCCGAATATTCTACCTGCTAGCCAGAATGCTAGTTTATTTCATGGAATTCCTGCATCGTTGGAGCTTGATCAATTGCAACAGAATAAGTCCTCTGTACATATTCCTTTGGATGAGTCGAGACTGCTGACAACTGATGTACTTGGTTGCACAAATAACTCCTTATCCAATGTTTCGAATAATCCTATGATACTACAAGGGAACTCTATCAACATGACTCCATTTAGCTCGGACTCCTTCAATAGCGGTGTTAACGGTTCTTCCAATTTTTTAGACCAAGGTAGATGTAACGAGAACTGGCAAAATTCGGTTCAGTTATCGAAGTTCCAGTCGAGTTCTTTCCCATTGACCANATCGAAGTTTCAGTCGAGTTCGTTTCCACTGACAGAAGCCTTCCTTAACAGCCATTTGCCTCAAAGTAGTGTTAGAGATGATAATTCTTCAGCTGCGCCGCCTCATTTGCAGAACAGCTCTCTTGATTTTGCTTCCACCACCACAGTTTCGCCTTCTTTTGAAGATTCAAGGGGAAAAATCCAATTTCGTGATTGTACGGCTGGCGCTGTTCAGAGTATGAATCAAACACAGTCTCAAGCATGGGCCGAAAATAAACAACGTTATTCCAACAATTCAAATAATACTTTCGGCAACTTAAGCTCCCAGGTTCCCAACAATGGTGGTAACATCACTTCTTTTAGCCATAGTATTCACCAAAGCAATGAGAACTTTGGCAGAAAGATGGACATGTCACTGATTGGTAGATCAAATGGAGGTTCGTCGGCACTCATACAGCATGCTGAGAATGAAAAGTTAACCTCCGACTCAAGGACAAGGTCAAATGAAGATTACCTCTTGGAGCCAACAAAGCAACAAGTTGGTTTTAGTCCACAGGGCTATGACTCCCTAGATGATCTAATGAGTGCAATGAAACGGGTATGATTACCTTTTCCGATATGCCTCTCTTAATTTTGAAAATTCCAAGTACTTTTTTTACTCAGCATAAACAAGATCCCAGATTCTGAAAACTGAAAGATATATCGAGGTGCCATAAAAAACACTAGTTATGTGAGAAAACTGATTTGAAGTGCATTGTCGAAGATTTATGCATAATAGTGATAGGCAAAGAATTAAGCTTTCTCAGGGAAGTAATGTTCCTTATATAAATGTATAGCTGGATTACGATATAAACATATACACACATGTTCATCTGAAACTGGAAACGACTGAAAATAGATCTGATAGAATTTTGCATCCAACTCATGAAAGAAATCTGCAGAGGGTGTGATTACCATATTTTTGCTCCCCAACAATAACAACCAATACCACAAAAGCGGGGCTGAATCAAATGGCTCTGTGCATAACACTATTCCCCTGGGGTTCATCTGGCGTTACATCTAATGTCAATCAGGTGCATACTTATATCGACCTGTACACCTATGTGAAACTATAGTCAGTGTCCTTTTATATTGTGTTCTACTTCTGAGTTCATTGTTCATTTCATCTCATTTTAGTTGCATAACACTATTATCTCAAACTGTAGACTTTTCAGCTGTTTTCGCTTGTGCTTAGTGCCCCCAGAAATTCTTGGATTTCTTGCAATATAAGATTGAATGTCATAACTCTTATTTGTATACCATCAAATCCCAGTTTTCAGGATATCGCATCATCCCAATCACCCCTAATTCTAAGTTATAAGGATACACTAGGCATCAGAATTCAAAAAGTTACTTGTGTTTTTGTCCGCGGATTTCGCTCATCAAGTTCTTTTTTGAGCTTCCACTATTAAACAACTACAACTACAACTACAACTGTACGTCAAACTTAAATATGTTGGGGTCGGCAATATGGATCCTCATTTATTCCTCTAAACTCAACTCATATCAACATCATTACCAAAAAAAAAAAAAATTGCAAGTTAAAGAACAATAAATATAAATATAAATATAAATAATAGTAGTAATAATAATAATAATATTAAAAGTTATGTACCAAGTCTAAAACCTATTCTCAACTAGTAAGTATCACTATCACCTATATTTATCATTTTCTTCCAACGTTCCCTATCTTTAGCTAAGTCTGTATTAATTTTAAGGATTTGTAGGTCTTTTGAGACAACTTCCTTCCATGTGATTTTAGGTCAATCCGTTTCCGTTTAACACCTTCCTCCACCATGGTTTCACATCTACAGTTCTGCATTTTGTCCCCTTTGCTATAATGAGATTGAATTTAGGAAACCCTCAGTTAAATCCGTGCATGTGTCCTTAACTTTTTCCATTACATACATTACCAAGAAAAAGAAAGGGAAAATTTTGAAAAATACAAAAAAAAATCAAAATAATGGTAAGTGGTGGTGCATTATAAAGGATTGGGCTTTTTAACACATTTGGCCGATCGGCGAAAAATAACTACAGCTGCTAGGCAAATATATAAAACGAGTATACAATGACTGTATAAAACATGTATATTATATTATATATATATTTTATATTAATATACAAAAATATAATTTGCTGGCTATTATTTTGTGGAGCGGCTACACTGTAAATTTCCCTAAAGGGATTTGCTTATGTAATGCAGGATCAAGATGGAGGCATGTTAGAGGAAGAACAATATGTATTTGATAATTATCCTTTCGGATCATGACTAATTTTCTGAAGGTTTTGTAGCAGTAAGTTTCAGCAAGAAGAGGATCTAGGTTGC